TCTGCTAGTTGGGGTTTAGTCCAAATCTGCATCCTTTCCTTCAAGGCTCAGGGGTCCAAGATTATCTTCTGTGTCTGTATTTATTGGTTTCCCTTTTCTTTGTTGAAGAGGGTCTGTGCAATCCTTCTGCCTAGTCCGCCATCTTGCCCCGCCTCCTTTTTTTGGTGTTTTAATGCAGGTTCTTCTACTAGTTGGAGTTTAGTCCACTTCTGTATCCTTCCTTTTAAAGCTCTGGGCTCCAGTATCACCTTCTGTATCTATGTTAATTGGTTCCCCTTTTCTTTGTTAAAGAGGGTCTGTGTAGTTTGTCTGCCTATTCTGCCATTTTGATGGAACTTCCCTGCATTATCTTCTTAGCAAACAAATAGATAAAATAAACTTTGCCTCACCAAACAAGCATTATCTGTGATATTCCTACAGACTTTCTGAATTACTATTTCTATGTTTTCAATTTTATGTTATTGAAAAGCAGTAACTGTCACACTCTTACATCAACTATTTTTAAAAAATAGAAACATGGTTGTAGAAACTCTTTTCCTCCTATTTTCAAGTCTGGCTACTTCTTTCAGACTTGTACCCCACCTAGCAGAATTGGAGCCCACTTAATATACTAAGGGGGGTTGTGCTACCCCACCAAAATTATAGACTATGTAATATGAGGATTATTTTACCTAAGCTAACTATATATGGTTAAATAATGTTCAAAATAATTTGAATAATCACTCAAGAGATGTTATTTGGGGTGATACACAGACACAGACTGAAGCTTTATGTGCTATGGTTATTAATACATTTAAATCACATAAACTACTTCTTGCAATGTATTCTTAAGTACATTTTTAGAAATTCAAGTGTTCTTCCCATTATTCTTTTAGCCCAGGGAAACAAAAGTTTATAGTATTTATTAAAGGGAGTGATTACAGATGTCACAGTATAAAAACTTATGTGGTAACCATTAAATCTGATTTTAAGTACACTGACAAAAACTATTTCTGTGTTTCTCAATTTCATTAGTTTTCAAAATATTAAAATAATCTTTTTGTATATAGTTTAATATAATGCAAGGATTTTTAACATAAAGGATTTCTAATATCAACTTTTCAATTTTGTCAGATGTAACAGGACTATTTCATGTCTTTCTGTAGCTTTAGTTCTGAAATATCTTGTTTCCTAGACTGAAAGATATAACATGTTCTTAGGGTTAAAAAAAATGCAAAATTGGGTCACATTAATGTGCATTTTACACACAGAAACTCTGATGTTTTGACTTGGTGCTTCTAGGGCTATCAGATATTCCTTGCTTCAATGAGAGAAATTTCTAAGAAACTTCTTCAAAAGTTGACACAAGAGATTTGCTAGGAGGATAAGAAAATGTTGGTCTTTTCTCTTCAGCTAAGAAAAACTTTTGCTTGGTTTCTGTATGGACATTATCATTCAGTGTGGGATTCCTAGTATTTGATAAGGTATTACCTTCTATTCATATAAAATTAATTATGTACCCTATTATTTTAAAATATTTATTTACAAAGATTCATTTGAGAAGATTGCTCATGCAAAAGACTTTAGCAAATTTTTTTTTTAAGTAAGAATAATAAATTTAAGACAACTCTTTCTTATTATAGGTAAGTTGATCAAAAAATCTTAAATCTGTTCACTTTAGAAATATTTATGGTTATAATTTCCTCAATAAGTAAAACACAAGTTTCGTCTTATGTTGTAGTTTATTTGCTGCATTTCCAAGTATATTGTCTTAAGACACCAACAAATTCACTTACCTTTCCACAAAAATTCCAGCTTGAACAGCATGCACAATGCTCCGAAATTTTGGTTTTTCCTCGGGTTTCCTTTTCGTCATCCCCATTTTCCGTGTAAATGTAGAAGCCAACCAGTCCCGGACTTCCAATGGGACTGAATCAGACTCAATGTCAGAGAGCTCATCGTCGGTATCCAACAGTCTTCTACAAAAATTCAAACAGATTAAACTTAAGAGAAACTAATATAAGAAACAATACAAAGCATTGCAATGGCATTTGAAATATAAAAAATCACTGTCTAATCATAGGAACTATTTGAAAAATAAGATACAGTTAATGTTTACAAAGTTCTTTCCTAATTTCTCATATTGATTATCTTCTGAAGGCAAAAGCTAATACACTTGAATATTTGAAGCTTCTCAAACATTTATGTACAATGATACCAGTCAGGAGATACGAACTGTTAATATCACCAATATGTCTGTTGCTGTCATTCATCGCTACTGAATGGGCTCACCTTTATGATAGGATCTTATGTACAAAAGAAGGAAACATTGTCCAGCCTGTGCCGTCCTCATGATCATCGTTATGTCTGAGTCCACTACAGCTATAATGCCAATCCATCTCACTGAGGTTTCCCCTCATTTTTGTTGTCTCTCTACTAACATGATATCCTTTTCTGGTATTGGGATCACTAATATACTATCCTGGCATTATTAATAAAACAGATAAAGTAGGGAAAATAGTTCACAAACTACTACTTCCATTAAAGGAAGAATGACAGGAAAGAAAAAGAGAGAGTAGAAGTTATAATACTCTGATATTTATTAATTTTTTATATATAGGATAAGGATCCTACTTGAATAAGGCCTTGGAATTTACAAAACACTTTCTCATGTGTTATTTCATTTGATTACTGCCTCTAAATTGTAGAAAAGTAGTGTTTTATGTACTATAAAATATATTCATTCTGATATCAATGTCACAGATGAAAAATTAAAATAAATAAAGATTACAAATCTTAATTAACATAGTATTTTGGTACAGTAATTTTCTACAAATAATCTACTAAAGGAAACAAAACCAAAATAAAAAAATCCTTCAGTCTATTTGAATTACTATTGCTTTTTAATATTGGCTCTTCATTATATGTCGATTGACACTGTGGAATTCATGTAAACATATGTTGAAAGAACAATATTAGAATATACCTTGTAACAGGAATGCCAAAGTTTCCTCCTCTTGTCTTTCTGGGAAGCTCTTACAAATTTACTTTAAGAACTATAAGAACTGCCTTTGCTAGATCATTATCTTTCTGGCTCAGACATTCTCCAGGGCTATGGATAAGACAGAATGAGGACCTTAATAGCACAATAACCTTGATATGAACATAAATGCATTAATCTGAAAGTTCATTTCAGGTGACTGAGTCAGTGTAACTAAGAGAGGAAAAACCTCCAATTAAGAGCAAATGTTACCTTGGGGTTAGAACTGCTTGCCAAGGAAATCAACATAGAAAGTGGGGAAGTCAACAGGTATCTGAGCTACTAGGGCTTTTCTGCATAAAACAGCTAGTTAGAGTTTACTGGACTAACAAGTAATGATACCTGTGTGATGAAAGAGGGAACTGAGAAAAATGTGACTATTCTAAGGAAGGCCAGCCCTACTGATCAAGAAGTACCTAAATGTCTAAGGCAGTAACTAAGTGTGACAGGTGCTCCACAAATACCAAAGGGCTTTAGAAACTCTCGAGCTTTCCCAGGAAGAACACAGGGCAGCTCTGCCTGTAGTTTGAGTTGGTTATTTCCTTCTCTGTGTGGCAACTTAATAACTCGGAGCTATTTTTAGCAGACTGTACTTTGACCATTGGGTTTTATTTACTTTGATAAGTCTCTGCAGTGTGAGACCTGAGGATTAGGAGGTGAAGGTGGGAAGGTGGTCAGAGATAATAGTGCATCCTCATGTCATTTGTCTGTCTTGAGAGAGCAGAAACTACGAGAGGGGCAAAGGTGGAAGAACTACCTAAAGCACATAATGCTATGAAAGAGTCTCAAAAATAATATGCAGTAAATTTTCTTATTCCTTAAAATGACTCCCTACATGTGCTGGCACATCTTATAAACATGAAAGAGATCCATCATTGGCCAATATTTATTTTTCATGCTACTAAATAAGCATAGGGGAGCTCTGGTAGCATAGTGGCTAAGACACTTGCCTGCTAACCAGACGGCTGGTGGTTCAAACCCACCAGCCACTCCTCGGAAGGAAGGTTGGGCAATCCTACTTCCGTAGTGATACTGCCTCGGAAACCCAAGGAGGGGTCGCTATGAGTCGGGGCCGACTCGACGGCACATAACAACAACAACAACAAATAAGCATAAATGCATGTATAAAAAACCTTATGAAAACATAGATGAGTGCTGGAGTTACAAGTAATGTAAACTTTAACTACCTGTTTTATATAGAAGAACCATTGTAGCTCTGGTAGTCTGACATACAAATATGACTCAATGGAAATAAATACAGATTAATACTTACATCACAACATGTTTTGTTTTCTTTTCACCCTTACATTTGGATGGTTTTGATATACATGAAAAACATTGACGGCTTAACCCAAAGCAATTTATTTTTATTTTCCTTTTGTCCATTTTAAATTAGATTCCTTAACATATTCCAGCAAGATTCTACACTACAGGGCTTGAAAATTTCATTGCCTTAGATTACCCCATTTCTACTATGTTTAGTTCTGAAACATCTTGTTTCCTAGAGAGAAAGATAAGCCATGTAGTGATCAAATAAAACCACAGAGTAAGGTAGACAGAATGGGAATCCACTGTGGTATAATTCTGTGATGTCACCATCCTTCAAGCATTCTATGGGTATCTTGTTTTATCAATTAATCTGAGTAAAATGGCAGGTACACAATAATGGTTCCAAGTGTTCCACAGCTAAATTGATGCTGTAATTTTAGGACTGATCTCATAAATCACCCGAGACAGACAATCAGACATGACAAAAATCAGCATGTGGAAACGATACCTCACATGTTAGGGTCAGATGTATGACAACCCTTCGTCGTGATGAGTGGTGTCATTTATTGAGAAGGAAAGAGCATATAATTTCAGGGAGGAAGTGGATTAATGGATTAATTAGTACATATAGGAATAAAAGAAGAGTGTGTAAAGAGAAAAGCATGCAATATGCTGTTGTATAACTAAGAAAGTAAAACTTGAAAAAAACAACAAACTCCTCAATAAATGTAGAAAGTCTGAAAAAGAATACTTTCATCATCATGAACATTATGTGGTAACTACCAGAAAATGTTATAAGTCTGGGAAAAGATAAAGGTTCAACTCCTAACTGTATTAATATTTTTAATAGCGTGTTTAAATCCTGTTTCTGATCTAAAAATCTCATAAAAATCCTATCTGAATATACTAAAAAGATTTATCAGCTATTATAGATCTTAATACCACACTGCTCAAAGCTAAAACAAACAAACAAAAAAAAAACCCCACCCATTGCCATCAAGTCAATTCCAATTCATGATGACCTCATGTGTTACAGAGTAGAACGGCTCCATGAAACTCTAGATGTTTAGGAAAGGCATCATTTGAATTGAGACCTGAGGGATGAGAAGGAAATAGCTATAAGGAAAAACTGGGAAGAATATTCCAGACAGAATAGCAAGTACAAAGGCCCTGAAGAAGGATCAGTATTGGAGTGTTTCAGATATAGAAAGTAGGCCAAAAGTGGCTAGAGCGTATTGAGTGAAGAGAGTAACTCAAGACAGGCATCTAACATAGGTAGGAATCAGCTAATATTGGACCTTCTAACAGAAAGAGTTTGTCATACATGCAATGGGAAGTCAATGAAATGTTTTAGGCAGTGTATGATCTATGATCTGATATGGTATGATGCTCAAAGACCACTTTGCCTGCTGTGAGAATAAATCAAAACCAAACTCACTGCCATCGAGTCATATCTGACTCATAGCGACCCCTCCTTGGGTTTCTGAGGTGATATCACTACAGAAGGAGATGGCACAATCTTCCTTCCAAGGAGTGGCTGGTGGGTTTGAACCTCCAGCCTTCCAGTTAGCAGTCAAGTGCCTTAGGCACTACGCTACCAGAGCACTATGCCACCAGAGCTCCATATGTGAGAATAAGATTTTAAGTTGCAAGAATAATGTTTGGAGTTAAGATGCTAGTGTATTGGACTTTTATGTGGAAATCTATTATTTTTCTAGTTCTCAATTTGTACTGAACATTGGATATCATTTCTTAGGTCTACAGAATGACCTTTTAACTTATGGATCCAAGTTTCATAGTATTTTATTATTGTTTCCTCAGGTTATAACGATCTTTTTCCATTCATTTTTTTTTTTCTTTTCGTCAGCAAAAAGATTATATCTATAATGAATCACTTTTTTTTTTCAATCTATTTTCCACTGATAGCATTTTGCTGAACTTTTTATTCATTTATATAATGTCACTGCCCTTTACCTATTTAACTTTTTTTAAAAAAATTCTAAATGTTTTCAAGGCCTCGGATTGTGTTTTCAGTAATGTCTCTTTTAGGTCTTGCTGCTTTGAATGAGGCTTTCTCCTCTGGATAATCCTGTTTTATGGTTCCATTTACTTACTGAGCTACATGTCCTCATTTTTCATCTCTTTCTATTACTGTATTATTTATTTCCTCAGTCTTTGAATCTTTGTATTAAATTGATTTCTACTGAAATTATTATTTCATTAAATTCTTGTTTATAGAAAGGGCTCAGAAATCAAATTTCTTCATTTCTTGGCAGTATTTTTCCAGCATGTGTTTTTTGCAATTTGTTTTCTGTTATTCCTTTCCACCTTTTCTTGTGATATTTTGTATGGATTATCTATGGATTTCTTTTTGGCAATTGTTCATCCATGAATATAGGAACTTCTTTCTGGACCAGGAGGTAGAAGAGAAGGACCAGGAAAATGTGTGTTGTTGTTATGTGCCGTCAAGTTGGACCCAACTCATAGCGACCCCTCCTTGGGTTTCTGAGGTGGTATCACTATGGAAGTAGATTGCCCAACCTTCCTTCGGTGGAGTGGCTAGTGGGTTTGAACTGCCAGCCTTCTGGTTAGCAGTCAAGTGCCTTAGGCACTACACTACCAGCGCTGGGTACAAACCAGGATGTGTGTGTTTAAAATCTGTTTTTCTTT